AACGCCTGTTCACAGAACCACTCACTGGCATTCCTCCCACGTCACCAGCGGTGGAGGACGGCCGGAGACAGGGAACCCTAGGTGTCCCCTCCTTGCAGGTGGAGCTGCTGCTTCCTGGGCAGTCCCACTCAGAGGCCTGCACTGGATGCCTGGTGCGGGGGGTTGCCGACCCATAAGGTAAGAGAAGCCAGAGAAAGGCAGGTATGGGGCAGGTGTGGGCAGATAGGAACTTCAGGTCCCCAGGACCCAGGAACAGCCCAAGCCCTTCAGCAGAGGACTCAGACTTTTGTATTGGGCAAAACCCACCGAGCATACAATCCAGTCTGCACCTCCCTGGAGCGCACAGCTTGGTGGCACTCGATACATTCCCCGAAACTCCAGAGCTTGGTTCAACTTTTTTTTTTCCCCCAGGGCTGGTGACAGAACCCAGGGCCTTGGCCTGCTAGGAAAGTGCTCCGCCACCGAGTGACCCCCAGCCCTGGAGCTCAGTCCTAAAGCCTGGCTCATTGAGCGGATCTTGGTTGAAAATCTGTTCAGGCTTCTCAAGGGGACGAGAGATGGAGGTGCAGCCCTGCTCAGAAGTGTCCCCCCAGCAGGGTAGAAGGCAGAGCCCAGAAGCCACCAGCCAAGAATGCACTGGCCGTCAGAGATGGGCAGGGGGGCACCTGGAGTCCCAGGAGGGACGGGGCAAACAAAGACTTCTAGACCAGTGCCCCCCCCCCACCCCGCCACAGAGGGCGCTTCAGAGTCCTCCCTGTGGTGACGGGGCCTGATGAGCAGGTGCCTGCACTGCAGGCAGCCTTTGGAGCACCAGGCTCTCGGCTGCTCTTAAAAGCCCAGCTCTCCAAACTGCAGAGTAGAGGCAGAAATATGTGACCATGTGTGGCTGTGAGCAGCTCTGTCTGGGTCCTCACTCCCTGGACAGACTGCAGATCAAGGCTCTGGGGTGGGAACCTTGTTTTCCCTCTTTCTGACAAAAAGCAGATCTGCTGACAGATTAGGAAGCAGGGGGCTGGGGTGAGGGGAAGGTCACCCAGAAGCACCAAGCACTAAATCACCCGCTAATGAGGTGCTGGTGTTCCTGGGAGCCGCAGGAGGACTCGCTCTGGCCCTGGACTGGCTGGTGGGCTGTGGTTCTCATGTGACTGCCAGGAACTCCTGGGGGTGGATACTCTCCCACTGTGGGCCGGAGGGCAGGAGGCAAGGACTGCAGCTTGCCCAAGGTCACACATCCTAGGGAAGTGCCCTGTCAGAGAGCCTCCTCCTGCTCTAACCCCGCTCCCACCCAGGAGGCCATAATGCTCCGGGCTCCAGAAATATTCGAGTCCAACTGCTAGGAACACAGGTTTTATTCAAAGTCACTTTGAAGGAAGGTGCAACAAAACTTAATTGCTTCCAAAGTTCCATCTCTGAAAATCAGCAGAAACTTTAAAGGACTAGGGGCCACCAAGGGACAAAAGAGAGGAAGGCACCCCTGCGGACGGAGCCGGCCTCGGCCTCCGCGCCCACCTTCTTGGCCCCTGTCAGGAATTTCAGGTGGGAGGACCCCAACTCAGCCTGTCTCAGTGCTTCCCCCAACACCATGTCACTGCTACCAACAACCAATCCTCATGTGGCACCGGCTCCAGGGTCACACGCTTGACTTTTAAAGGTGTATAACAGCTGGTAGGACAGACACGATGGCACGCATTTCACAGAGCAGGAACTGAGGCTGCAGAGGCTTTGGGTTCGACCCAAGTTCATGCCAAATAGACCTATACATACAAATGTGCAGTGTGGAGCAAAGTCAAACCTGGGTTGGAGTCCTGCCTGCTGGGTGACCTTGGGCCAGTTCTTAACCTGTCTGGGTCTAGCACTCCTGGTTGGGACAGCAGTGCTAAGTGTTATAATCTTGGGGTTACTGTACATGTGGATTCCACTGACGGCAGAGCCTGGCATGAAGTTAGTTCTCAGTAGGTTTCTGTTAACATCTATCAGCATTGTCATCACCACCAGCAGGAAAGACCTGTGAGATCCTAAAGCACAGGCCAGCTGGACACTGCTGACCTTGGAGGTTGAGGGGTAGCAGGTGGACAGTTGCAGGACAGACCAGATGTGCAGGCAGGGACAGGGCCTGGCCTCCAGGAGGCCTCGATGACAGATGTGCCCACATGGAGACAGGCCAGCTGGGCTCACACAGAAAGCCCTACTCTGTGAACAAACTGGCGGAGAAATGAAAGCCTCAGGCATTAAGTAAACACTCTTCCCAGGTGAGCAACAGTGAGGGGAGATTTTATTGCCGATTGGTTCCAGGCTCAGAGCTTGGAGGTGGCTGGCTCGTTGCTAGTTTTATGGTGGTTTCTCAAGTTCTTGATTTGAGCCTCGGTACCTTGGAAACTAGGATTGTTGTAGGGACAGTTGAGACAAGGCACCGAAGACAGCAGGAAACAGTTTTATTGGGCTGCAGCCAGGTTCAGAGGGCACAGCTTTTGCTGTAATCAATCAATCCCCTGAACCCCGAGTTCAGGGAGTTTCAGAGTTTTATACCCAGCATGTAAGGGGAGGGGCTCAGAAGTTCACTGTCTGCAGAAGTTCACATAAAAGCAGCTTTTTCTCTCACTGTTCTGGGCAAGTTAACCCTTCAAGGACCTGAGAGGGGGAGAGCTTCTTCTCCCCTCCTCTCCTCCCCCTGCAGCTGTTACCATGGAGCCCGGTTGGTAACTTCTCTATCCTAGAAATGCAGACATCTCTGTGAAGCCCAGCTCAGGCCAGAGGCCTGTTTGCACATTTCTACAAACTACTATACTGGATACGTTTGTGAGAAACTAGTAAGGGGGTGTCCAGCACCTGGAGTGCTGGTATCTTCCCGGCCAGTGGCCAAGTAAAATTGGAAGTTTATCTACAGTGAACTCTTTGGCAGAGACTCTTTTGCTGACAGTCCTAAAATCAGCCAATGGTGAGGATTTCTGGAGAAGCCCAGGTAAGAGGAGGGGGTGCCACTACAGGACAAGGGAACCCTCCTCACTGGATGGCCATCCCCTTCTCCACTGTCAGCCCCTGTGGAAAACAGCCCCTGAGATCCAGGATCCCAGGTTTCCCACCCTCAGCTCTGGGTTCCATTCATTAGCAATTCCCCATTCCAAGCCTCTGTTTGTCGGTCTGTTTATCTTTACAGTACTGAGGACTGAACCCAGAGCCTCACACATGCTATCAGGTGTTCTACCACCCAGTCATCCTTAGCTCTCCAAGCCTTTGACTTGTCTCAGTTTCAAACATTCAATATGCAATATGACTTCAGGGCTGGAGTGTAGCTCGGTGGTAGAGCACTTGCCTAGCACCCTGGGTCCAATTGCCAGTACTGAGGGAGGAAGGAAGGAAGGAAGGAAAGAAGGAAGGAAGGACAGACTAATTAAAATATTTTCTAAGGGGGGATCACAAGTCAAGTGGCCAGCCTGGGAGTGGTGCTTCCCATTTGGACCCCCTTTACCTATTTAAAAATATCCAGCAAAATGTGTGGTAAAAACCAGGTGCCGTGGTGCACACCTGTAATCCCAGAGGCTCAGGAGGCTGAGGTAACAGGATCAAAAGTCCAAGGCCAGCCTCAGCAACTTAGTGAGGCCCTAAGAAACTTAGCAAGATCCTGACTCAAAATGAAAAATAAAAAGAGCTGAGGACGTGGCTCAATGGCGAAGTGCTCCTGGGTTCAATCTCCAGTGCAGAACAAGACGAGAAGATATGAGGAGTGAGGGCCAGGCTTGTGGCCAGTGAGGAGCCAGCTGATGGCAGAGGGCCCTGGGTCAAGTGTGGGGTTTGGAAAGGTGGGCCAGGAGCCTGACCCACAGTGGGAACACTGTAGGCCACCTGAGCCTTCACCCAGCGGGCCTTAGCTGGTTCTGGCTGGCGCAGGCATCTCTGGGTTCCCCATCCTCAAAGACTCAGCGCTCCAGGTCCTCAGAAGCCCCAGAGGGTCCCGGGTCCTTCCTCTCCTGGAACAGACTAAGATTCCTCTGGAGGAGGTTGTCTCCACTTGCAGTTTCCATTCAGGATTGGGGCAGGGGGAGGGTTTGGAGCAGGAGCAGGAGTTACCTGGGCTACCCCCAGTGTCTAGCAAGTTCCCCTCCAGGGACTGTCCTCTCACTGGGCATGACGGGTGGAGTTAGGGGCATTGACCCTCTTCCCAGAAATTCCACTGCCTGGGCCCAGGTGTCTCCTGTCCTCTCTTAGGGAGGGTGATTCCCTCCAAGTTCATACCCACCCCCCAACAGGTGGACCCAGGGGCCTGGAGAGGCCACAGGTAAGTTCCTTAGACTGGCACCTGGGGGTGAACCCAGGTGGCCGGCCAGGCCCTGCCTCTTGCAGGGGCTGGGGTCGGAGCAGATGCAACCTGTGCTTCTTTGGGCCCTGAAGCTCCTTCCCAGTCTCCCCTCCTTTCTGTGGAGCCCTCCATTTCTCTTTCCCTCCAGGACCCCTCACAGGGGCAGGCGTGCCCTGGGCTCTCCTGTTCTTTAGAGGGGCCCCTTAGAAAATCAGCTGAGGATAAAATCCAGAGATACCGATGCACGAGCCCTGCCTGGGTCAGGCCTTTGGCCACCAAGCAGACCACGTGGCCTGGCAGCCCTGTTGCTGAGTCAGGGAGAGGGCCCCATGCTGGACACAGTTCGGGGAGAGCAGGAAGCCAGCCTCAGCTGGCCCCACAGCTCCCTTCTCCCCCTCCCCACCTAATGAGCCAGGGGTCCCTGGGTGGGAGGAAGCACCCTGGGCCTTGTCCCACCTGCCTTACCGTCTCTCCTTGGGACTGGAGGCCTGTGGCTGTGTTCGATTAAGGGATTGGTCTCCTTGCCCTAGAGGGTCCCCTCTGGCCCTAATGCAGGCCTCCCCGTGCCTCCCTCTGTCTGTCGAGTCCCTTGGGTTTCAGCCCCTAGGCCAGCAAGGGGCCAGGAAAGCAGAGGCCAGCTCAGCGCTCCTCTTTCAGGACCTTTATTGCCGGCGATCCTGAGGCCCAGGTGGGGCCGAGAGGGGCTGCCCTGTCCCCAGGGCTAGAAGAAGTTGACCACCCTGCGGAGCGACTGCACACGGGCACTGTGGGCCTCCCAGTCGGAGAAGCTGCGGAAGTCGCCCCTCTCCACCACGTACATTCGGCCACGGTAGTTGGGCTCCTCATAGAGGACCCATCTGGAAGCCAGGGAAAGACAGGTCAGGGGACGGACACAGGAATGCCACCCAGGCTCCGATCAGAAGACCTCCCACCAGCCCTGCCACCCCTTCCTAGCCCAGTGGATCCCCGTGCTCTGCAGAACACCAGGGTGCGCCGCCTGCACTAGGCTGACTCCCTGCCTGCTGCTGTGGGGGTCAGGGCTGGGTGTGGCACGGGGGAGGCGTGCCCAGTAACGGGCCATGGTTTAAAATTGGCCAGTCTACTCCAGGAGGCTCTGGCCCCCGTGGCACAGCCCTCATCCCTCCTGCCCTCTGCAAGGACCATCTCACACTGATGGCAGCTGCAGCAGCAGGCAGGACACTGGGCACAGACTGGGGACAAACGCCTCCTGCTCATTCATTCAGCAAACGCAGACGAGCTCCAGGCGTGTGTCTCACTGTGCGTTAGGAACCGGGGTGCTCAGGTGGGACAGATGGGCTCCCGTCCCCATGACACCTCTGCTCCAGTGAACAACAGACTGTGGTGTCTGCAGTTGCAGGAGGGGACAGCCAGGATCCTGGCCGTCGTCCCCAGTGGAGCCAGGAGAGACCATGGCCCCTCATCACCCAGGAGGTGCGGGGCTGCAGGTGAAGGGCAGCGCAACCCAGGTGACCAGGAAGGTGTGGCGGGGAGGCTAGAGGGGGGCCAGAAGGGTGGTCTCCATCTGGGAGGGGAAGTGTGGACCAGAAAGCCATCCCTTCCTCTGCCATCCCTGAGCCAAGTGTGCTACTGTGGGGAGGGGGCCCAAGAAAGGTAGCACAAGTCTGTGGCCCTGGGGGGCGAGGTCTGCAGCCTGAACTGACTGCCTGGCCCCAGCAGAGGACTGGGAGTCGCCGTGGTCAACAGCGGGCCTCTACCAGGCCCCTGACTCCTCCCCTTCACTCTCTCCACCATGGAAAACTGCCTTTCTCTGCTTGGGACAGGCAGTGGCCTTGGGCCGCTTCCTCTTGGGCCTCCCACAAGGGGCGCACAGACAGCTCTGTCTTTGGGGTCCATGTGGCCTGGACTCCGACCCTGCCTCTTTGCAATGAGTGCCCACCTGGACCCCAGTAATTCTTGCCCATCACCCCGAAAGCACTTTTCTGTTGAAGGAGCTTCCTCCCCGTGGACACAGCCCTTCTAGCCTGAGCCCAGCCTCAGATGAGGTCAGGGAAGGTGAGTGAGGGCCCAAGGCGGCACGGCCCTCCTCCCCACTGTCTGCTCCCGCCACTCTCCTGACCCCACACCTGGTGCCTGGGGCAGTCCACTGCTGGGAGAGTCAGGGTCTGTCTCCTGACCCCACACCTGGTGCCTGGGGCAGTCCACTGCTGGGAGAGTCAGGGTCGGTAATGGCCATGAAGAGGGAGGGAGGCGGAGAGTGTGAGCAGGGAGGGGGCACCTACTGGGGGACAGCCTGGTGCAGCAAGACCTCCCACCCCACGGCTGCAGCTCAGAGGGAGTGGGCCAGCCCCGGCCCCCTAGCAGCAGCTGGAAAGGCCCAAGCAGTGTCTTGAGCCACCCTGGGGCTCAGGTGGACATCCCCCAAACTAAAGGGCAGGGAGAGGGCTGGGCGTCGCAGCAAGCTCCCCACTCCTAGCCCAGCCAGTTGGGGAGGAGGCAGAGAGAGGAAGGCAAAGGGCTCACTCTTCTCTTAGAGGGCAGGGGGGCTGCTGGGGATTAAACCCAGGGCCTGACACGGGCCGGGCAAGTGCTCTACTTTGGCACCACCTCCCGGCCCTGAGGCTCAGCTTTTAGGAGATGGGAAGTGGAAATGGCAGAAATGCCAGTGTGTTTCCCTCCAAGTGCCCTCCAGGACATGAGACGAGGGACAGGCCAATTGGAACTGCACGGAACCCAGAGGGAACGCTCTTGTCCTGCGGGAAATGGAGGGACCCAGCCTCCTCATCACCCAGGTCCCAGGAAAGGCTCTGTGGAGTGTCACCATCTAGACCCAGGGCATCCAGCATGGCCACCCATGCAGCTGCCCCTTGAAGAGGGCTTACGAGTCACAGGGCCCGGGCATGTGGCTCAGTGGTGGAGCGCTTGCCCAGCATGTGTGAGTTCCGTCCCCAGCACCGCAGAAGAAAGAAAAAAAATGAACTAAAGACACAAGAGGTAAAGGAGAAGTGTGCTCTGGGCCCACACAGGGAGTCTACCATTTCAGCTCTGGTTACTTCCTGGCCACCAAGATGTCCCCTCCGAGGGCACAGGATTCTACAATCAAACAACACAAGCCCCTGCCTCCCCCACCTGTTCCTCAACAGCCCTGAAGTCTCCAGGCTGTGGAGAGGCGGGACAGTGTCCTGGGTCTCAGGACATTTAACATGCCCAGGTGTGTCTTTGCCTCATGGCACAACTTAGCCAGCAAAATTTCCAGGGTACATTGTTCTGGAATTCTACCCCTGGACTCCCAGATGCCACCAACTCCTCAAGCCAAGTCACACCTCCCTGAAGAAAGGTAGATAGTATCTATAGCTCAGTCTGGGTCTCCTTCAGTCCCTCCCCTGACACCTCACGAGGGTCCCTGAGGCCAAGCCTCAGAAATACAGAAGACTCCTTAACTTCTTCAACAAGAGCCAAGTTTTTGGACCAGCCATAGAGGGAGGCAGGACCGGGCCTGGGGCTCTTCTCCTGAGGGGAGGGGCTGAAGGCACCAGCTCTGGAAAGCAGACTGCAATCCCAGCAGGGCCTCTCTCCAGGGCCAAGTTAACCTTCCAGTCTCAGTTTGCTCCTCTGTAAAATGGGGATGATATCTACCCAAACAAAGGTTAGAGAGATGGTCAACTGGAAAGTCTCAGGGCAGTGACACTTTACACAAGGGGAGGGCACAGGGAGCAGGGAGCATGGGCTGCCCTCAGCTGATCAGAAGGAAACCTGCCTGCGTCTGCAGGGGGCGGCCAAGGACAGAACAGCTGTTTGGGGCCCAGTGTCCCTCACTGAGGCCTTTCTGGGCCATAGGGAGACCAGCAGCCCTGGCCGCCACTCACGCTCCATCCCCGTAGACCTTGACGGCGTTGACGCAGCTCCTGGTCCAGCCCTGGCTCTGCAGGAAGGGGCAGTCCTCCAGGAACTCCAGGCACTGGCCCGTGAAGTTGCAGCCCTCGAAGATCTCTAGCCGGAAATGCTCCCCATGCTCCAAGGCACAGGCGGGCGGAGGGTGGGAAAGAGGAAAATGCTCTGAGTCCCCCACCAGTACAGGTGGGAAGGAATGTGCAGTCACCCAGGGCTCAGGGCCAAGAGTTCCTGGGCCGGCTGGGGTGGGGGTTGGTAAATGGCCCCATCTCAACACACACCCTCTGTTCCTTCTTTCACATGAGATGTGTTGGCGGTTTTATGACTTTAAAAAGCTTGGCTGGGGGTGGCGGTGCATGCCTGTGATCCCAGAGGCTTGGGAAACTGAGGCAGGGAGGAATGTAAATTTGAGAGCAGTTTCAGCAATTTAGCAAGGCCCTTAGCAACTGAGTGAGACTCTGTCTCAAAATTTTTAAAAAAGCATTAAAAGAGCTGAGGATGTAGCTCAGTGGTAAAGTGTCCCTGGGTTTAATCTCCAGTACCAAAAAAAAAAAAAAAAAAAAAAAGAAAGAAAGAACAACAACAATAAAAGAGCTTCAAAGCCCCTGAATCGGTCCAGTGGTCCAATCTCCTCTTTTTACAACTAAGGAATCCAAGATCCAAAGAGGGGGCAAGACTGCCCTGAGACCAGGGCCACTTGGACCAGGGTTGGGATCACTAACTCCCTCCAGGTGCTCAGCCTGGGGGCTCCTGCCCTGGTTATACCAACACGCTTCTCAGCTTTGACTTCTCTGCCCGCAGGCCACAGATGATAATATTTTAGAACTGTAATAGAACCTTTTATTAAAACATGAAGCCAAAACTCTAAAACAAATAACACATCTCGTTTGCTGAAATCCCTGCTGGCCTTGACGTCATCACTCACTAACATCATCAGTACATGGATCTCCCTACGTGATTCCTGTGTTTCCAAAAGACAAAGGAGGGCCAGCTCCCCACAGGCCAGATGTGGGGGGGCGGGTCTGCCTCATAGCTGGCCCCAGGCATGGCCTTTTTGAGAAGAGCATTCACAGGATGCCTAGTATATTTTTAATATAAATAGCATTATACAGGATCCAGGGCCAACCATTTTAATTCCTTTTTCCAAATGCCCAAGGCCTGGCAGAGATACTAAGAAAGTATTCTTACATGTGAGAAGTCAAAGTGCAGCCAGTTTTACAACTGATAGGAGAGGGGGCCCCAGGCAGAGAGGCACCGCCCCCATGATTCCTTAGGTGTTTGCCAGAGCCCCAGCCCAGGCGTCCAAGGGAGGGCCCTCTGGCCAGCAGACTCTGAGCAGGGCTGCTCACTGTGAGCTTGGGGACTGGTCATTTCCCATCCAAAGGACCAGAACTCAGAGCAGGTCAGATAGTGCTGGGACTTGGGTTAAGCCTCATTCTGCAAATCCTACCCTAGAGTCATGCAGCCATAAAAAGCCCCTCCCCACGGAAGAGCGACACCCCTGGTTTGCGTTCCCTACACACACCAGGCCCCACCTGTGAGATGCAGCCACCTGTGCAACTCCAAGGGACCTGCCCCACATGTCCTGCTGACTGGCCTGTGATACTTCAGCTTCTTCCATTAGCAATTCCAAGATTAGGGCTTGGGAGGTGCGCAGAATGGCTACAAGGCCATGTGCCCAGCAGGTGCCCGGATCCAGGCAGCCTGACTTACTTTTGCTGAGTGCTCCACCTTCCGGTCACAAATCCAAACTTATAATTTTTTTTTTCTTTTCTTGGGTGTTGGAGAGGGAACCCAGGGCTCACGCTCTACCACTGAGCTACACCCTCCAGCCCCCAAACTTCTAATATTTTCAACAGCATTTTAAATAGAGAATTTAGCTAGATGTTTGGATGGGAAATTTAAAGTGGTTTCCTGAGAACTCCCAGGGGCTCGCCTGCCTGGTAGCCCTGATTGAACCCCATGGTGTCTCACCCTCCTGCCAGCAGGGGTCTGGGTAGGGCCTTTTAAAGTTGGGAGGACCCTGCTACAGATTCCAGGAAGGCCCCAGCCCCCAGGCGGAGTGGGTGCTCACCATTCCTACAGGCCGGCAGGAGCCCATGTGGTCATTGTGGCCGTTCCATCGGAAGAAGTCAGGGTAGTCACCGTGCTCCAGGATGAACTGCTGGCCCCGGAAATCGGGGTGATCAAAGCAGACCCAGGCGCCACTCTCCACCCGGATGGAGTTTACTCTGTTCATAAAGCCTCGGTCCTGGAAGTTGTCACAGTCCCCGAAGACCTCCAGCTTCCGGCCTGTGAAGTGCTTGCCCTCGTAGAGAGTGATCTAGAAGGCCAGGTCAGAGCCAGGGTCAGGCTTCTCTCCTTTCAGTTTGGGGGTCTGTCATCTGGGACCTCTGCATCCTCTAGGAAACCCAGATTCCCAGGCCACCAAGCCCGGCCCTGCTGTGCACAGGAGGTGCCCGAGACATCTGCTGATTGGGCAGAAGATGAAAGGTCAACAGGCTGCTGTCAGACACAGCCACTGCCCAAGCCCCCCGTGGAGCAGACAAACTGCAGCCCCTCTCTGGGGACAGGAAGTTCCCCTTTGTGGAGGTATCCATTTGAAAACCTGCTGTCACAAACTTCCACCACATTTGTTTAACTCAATTTTTGTTTATTGTAAAAACAACACATCCATAATAACATCAAAGGAAATCTTTCCAAAACAATAAACTTCACCTACTACTCACCTTTATTTTTTGGAAAGCCAGGTTCCTGGGGCTGGGCCTCCTCAGCTAGAGAGGCTGAACCTGTGGAAGCCAGGTCCAGGAATCCCGGCCCAGGATGAAAGTCCTCAAAAGCACACTCTATAAGTGTCACCTTGTCCTTTTTTTTTTTTTTTTTTTCTTTTTTTCTTTTTAAGGCCTGACAGACAGATAACTAGGTAGCATGGACAAGTTGTCCTTTTCCCAAACTTTAGTTTGGACTGGAGACCCTGGGGCACTTTACCACTGAGCTACATCCCTAGTCCTTTTTATTTATTAATTTTTTTGTATTTTGAGACAGTATCTTGCTAAATTTCTTAGACCTCTCTAAGTTGCTGAGGCTGGCCTCAAACTTGTGATCCTCCTGACTCTGCCTCTTAAGTCTCTGGGATTACAGACAAATGCCATTGAGTCCAGCTCTTGTCTCCACACTTAACAACTCAAGCAACAACCCCCTCAACTTATTTCCTGCCGTGGAACCTAAAATTCCAAATACTCAATAACTCTTGGGTCTCAAGAATTGTGGTCCCAAGGGACCCTATCAAAGAATAGTAACCTAGTAACTGTTGTCATTTGTGCTTTGTAAATGCTTCCAGTTCTCCCAGGCCCCTCGGAGCTAGGGCAGCTGTATGCTCTGGCCAAAGAAATGTGTGTGGGAATGGACACTTGCAAGCCAGTGCACGTCTGATTTGGGGGTCTCTTCCTTTCCCTTTCTCATGTTACTGTCAGCCTGGGGCATAGGGAAGGGTGTGAGGACAAAAGCACTTATACCCATGATGGATATGTGGTGCTAGGGAGGCAGATACCCTAGTTGATGTATGCTACCAAGCTACTGGGGTTATTTGTTACTGAAACATAACCTAGCCCATGCAGAGGACTCTAGTGGTGCTCTCACCACTGAAGCACTTGAATGGAGCTTCTGGAGCCCAAAGGCTTCATGGGATTATCCAGGACAGAGCACTAGAGAAGGAGGAGAGAGATCTGAATTGGCTACCCTTCCAGCACAAGACAGGTTTGATAGAGAGTCACCCAGACATTCAATGAGACCTGAACACCCTAAGGATTTGGAGGTCCTCAAGGCTCAACATTTTGCTGAGAAACAGCCCCACATACCCGTGAAGACTGGAGAGCAAATTACACACTTTGACCATCCTCTCATAAAGAAGAGACAGCTAGGGTGGGCCCTGTATGATTGGCAAGGCTAACCCACCCCAAGCCAGAAAGCAGCAGCCAAGTTTGACCACCCTCCCTGCTCTTGACTTGGGGGAGGTGGTTAGAACCCCAGAACACCTGAAAAAGGGGATGGAAGAGGGCCATCATCCTCTGCACCCTCACCAGAGAGGCCCACAGCCAACAGCCAGGCAGCTCCATTTAATTAAGAAATTAAGCCAGCTTTGCTTGGGCTTGTAGTCCCCAAAGGGCGCACGGGAGCAACGGTTTGCATCTCCCCATGCCCGGTTTGCACCCTCCCCATGCCCGCGCACTGGGGCAATCGCCGGCCCTCTGCCGGTTTGCATTGGGTGGGGAAGGGCGAGGACTCACCTTCCCGGAGCGCTGCGCCATGGTGCGCCGCCGTCCTCCACCGGACTCAGTATATACCCGGCGGCGCCCTGCTGGCTCAGCGCCGCCAGGGACAAAAGATTTGCTTGGCCGGGCACCGCCGAGTTAGTGCTGTCGGGCGTGCTAAGCCGGAGAGGGGCCGCCGGGCCGGCCGCTGGGACCCGACCCTCGGCCACCCTGCGCCACCCGCCGAGCCCCCCCCCCCCCCCCCGCCGCCCCTGCCAGCCCCCAAGACCTCCGTTCCCGGACCCCACCTTCCCAGCCCACCCGCTCTCCTTGCTGAGTCAGGACCACGGCACCACCGCATCCACTGCGATTGCCGGGGGCTGGGAAGGGGTCTCCCAGGCCCTGCGCCTCTTCCCCAGTGCTGCACTTGCGCCCCTTCCCCACTCCACGTCTCCCTCCTTCTAACCTCCCGCAACCTCCATCACACCCGGCTGCACTCTAACCTGTTCCCGCCTGGTTTCTTTGGGACCTAGGATGGAGTCCATTCAAGCGTCCTGGGGCAAAGAAAGTCTTCCTCTGCCCCTTATAACTAGCTTCCCTGATCTGAGCTCCCAGCCCCGGCCCCTGGCCACCCTCCCTCCCCAGCCTGGGCTCCCGTGTCCTCCCTCTTTGGGATACTGTATCTCTCTCCCACTGGAGATCCTTCCCAGGTGTCCCGGGCCCTGATCCATGCTGCACCCTGTGCGGGGGTCGGGGGGCCGCAGTGCTCTGCGCCTGAAACTCTACACTAGTGCACAGAGCAGGCCACCCTGCGTGAACGTGACCGAGGATGGGTCTGCAGAGCATTCCCAGGGCTGAGAAGCCCTTGGCACACAGTGGAGCCTCGAAGACAGTTTATGGAGTAAATGGAATAAACACGGAGGCCACAAATCACTGGGGAGATGAGATGGGGTAACTGATTGGTGGGCAGTGTGTGGGGGGTGGGGGGGCAGGCTCTAGAGCAAAGGAGAAGCCCGGGGCTGCGGGGGGGGGGGGGGGGGGGGGGGGGGAGTTAGGCAGGGCTTCTTCTCTCAGGAAAGTGGACTGGTTTCTTTCTTTCTTTTTCGCGGGTAGGGGATTGAGCAGTGAATGCAACTTTTATTCTTGACTTGTGAGAGACTCACAAATTAACTTCTCAACCTGCTGCACGGGGAGATGGGGTAAAGGAAATGAGGGGTGGGTAGGTAAATAAAGGGGAGGAATATTCATGCCTTTTCTGGGAATGGGTGGCGATTTTCTGGGACTCCAGGTATTACCTCTTTTTCTTTTTCTTTTTTCTTTTTAGTACTGGAAATTTAGCCCCAGGGCACTTAACCACTGAGCTACATCCTCAGCTCTTTTTTATTTTGTTTTTATTTTGAGACAGGGTCTCACTAAGTTGCTTACAGCCTCAATAATTTGCTGAGGCTGGCCTTGAACCTTTGATCCTCCTGTCTTAGCCTCAGGAGTCCTGGGATTACAGGCTTGCTCACCAAGCCCAGCTCTCTTTTCACTCTTCTTATGGTTCTTTGCAAGTCATCGGATGGCCATTGTCTACTATCATAGCTCTGGGGATATGTCATTTAGCATGCAGATGGATTATCATGAAGTCAGAGGTGGTCACTCCTGAAGCCATCTTGACCTAACTTGTTTGGGCTAGCCCACCTGGAGAGAAACTTTAGGCCTTCAGGTATCCTGTCTTCAAAGATAAACAAGAAAAGGACCAGGTAGAAATTCAGCTAGGTCACTGAGGCAGTACAAGATTTGGGCAGGGTAACAGGGCTACTGTCCAGTGTATTTTTATCGTCATTTCACAAATGGTGAAGGGACAGCAGGTCACATGATTCTTGGGGCAGAGAGTGACCTTGCCCTTGCCCTAAGAAGTCATCAAAGGCAGACAGGGCATGGACTGGATCCCACAGGTCACCCTCCTAGCTGTCATGCCTTCCCCCAGGGCGGCTGCCGCCTCCACAGGTGGCCATCCACTCTCCAGGCCACACCTTCCAGCGCTTGCCTCTGGACATGGGTCGTGTGGGGACATATCATTAAAAACAAAGTTTTCTGCCAATCTAGAAAAGTAGTAGAGAAAGAAAACAGTCATTATTAAGTCAGCTTTAAGCCAGAATGTGATGGGCTTCACGGGTGACCTGCTAAGACATTGCAACATCTCAGCCTGGGTCAGTGGCAGGGCTCATCTGTAGCTTGAGTAAGGCCCTGGGTTTGATCCCTAGCACTTCGAGGGAGGGAGATGGGGAGGGAAGGAGAGAAAAGGAAGGGGAGGGGAGGGGAGGGAAGGGGAGGGGAGGACTTCTCAGAATTGGACCTGATATGGTGACCAGCCAGTCCACAGTTTTGTTACCGCTGTTGGCCGGTGACCAGTCCTTGCTTCCCCCATGTTGAAGAATAACACCAAAGAAGCACGGCGAGGCAAGGTCAGAGTAGAAATTAGAAGTTTATTAAAGGACAGCAGAAAAGACTTCTCCCGGAGGAAGAAGGGGACCCAAGAGGTGGAATCTGTGGAAGTGCGGTTGTCGCCCCTTTTTATAGTTTTGGTGATGGAATGTAAGGGGAAGGGTTAGGACACAGGTGGGCCAAACGGGCAGGAAGGACTTAATTATCACTTTTTGGGATGGGCTTATCACTTCTCTGGGATGGGCTATCTCCAAATCTGTTGGGGGCTGTTCCTGGGTTCCATTAATATTTCTTTGGGGTGGACTTTGGCCTAGGGCCTTTCTGGGACTTCATTAACATTCCATGAGTTGTCCTGCGTTTCCCGGAATCATTGTCAGCATGGCCTCCATTTTAGATTTCACTCGATATTAGACCCGATTTACCTAACTACACTGACTACCTAATTTTAAATCTGGCTTCAGTTTGATCAAGACTACTTAATCATGGGTATTTCTTAACTCCTGCTTTTGATTTCTCCCAAATTAAAACAGAGCTCTGTCAATACCCCCCATAGACAGGGCTGAGGATTCCAATCTTCCCAGTCTGGCTATACTGAATAAATATTTCTTTTCTTTCTTTCTTTCTTTTTTTTTTTGCACTGGGGATTGAACCCAGGGGTGCTTAACCACTGAGCCATATCCCCAGCCCCTTTTTTATATTTTATTTAGAGACAGGGTCTCACTGAGTTGCTTAGGGCCTAAGTTGCTGCAGCTGGCTTTGAACTTTCGATCCTTCTACCTCAACCTCCAGAGCCACTGGGATCACAGTCAGGTGCCACTTCACCTGGTCTGAATAAATTTCTTTCCTTCCTTTTTTACCACCAGATTTTCTGCTTGGATTTTTGAGGCAAGTAGCTAGACCCGGTCAGCAGGGACTCCCTTATGTCAGGTCCCTGTCTGTCCCAGAACTCTGATAACAGAGCCCACAGATTTTGTATCACCATGAAGGTGATGTGAATGGAATATAAAATATTAACAGTGATTTGGAGCATTTTCTGAAAAACATACACAAAAAAATGCCCGCCACAAACTTCACTCAAAGAATTGGTAAAAATGAACAGGTGGATCAGATTTCAGCAATTTCAAGTCCTCCCCCCATTCCAAGGGCAGACACTCAAGTCTCTCCCACAATTTCCATTACAAGTTGGTCACCAGAGGAAAGGTCTGCCATGCCCGGTAAGACACCTTGCCGCAAACAGCTACATAATATGTAAATGCCAGGCTCCTCAAATGCCACCCTTAGAGTTAAATCATTCCATTACCAGAGTCCCGGGTCAGGGGGGCCTCACAGGTTCCTAAAAGAAGAGCTCCAGAATTACCTAAGGGACAGAACAAAAAAGTGGGGAATGGATAAAGAAATGTGGTATATATACACAATGGAGTATTATTCAGCCTTAAAGAAGAATGAAGTGATGACATTTGCTGGTAAATGGATGGAGCTGGAAAATATGCTAAGTGAAATAAGCCAATCCCCAAAAAACAAAGGCCAAGTGTTTTCTCTGATACGTGGATGTTAACTCACGATGGGGGTGGGGGTGAGGTGCTAGGGAAGAATATAGGTACTTTGGATTAGTCAGAGGGGAAAGAATGGAGGGGAGGGGTATGGGGGTAGGAATGATAGTAGAATGAATCAGACAGTATTACTCTACATGTACATGTGACTACATAACCAGTGTGACTCTACATCTTGTACAACTAGAAGAATAAGAAGTTATTATTCTCCATTTATGTATGATGTGTCAAAGTGCTTTCTACTGTTATGGATAACTAATTACAACAAGTTAAAAAAAAGTGTGGAGCTGGGCGCAGTGGCACACACCTCAGCTTGGGAGGCTGAGGCAGGAGGATCACAAGTTCAAAGCCAGTCTCAGCAACTGAGTGAGTCCCTAAGTAACTCAGCAAGATCCTGTCTCTAAATAAAATACAAAAAAGGGCTGGGATTGTGGCTCAGTGGTTAAGCACACCTGGGTTTAATCCTGGGTACCTTAAAAAAAATTGTGGATTCCCCCCACCTCCACCCACTCCTGGTACTGGGATTGAAACAAAGGGTGCTTTACCACTGAACTATATCACCAGTCCTTTTCCATTTTTTTTTTTTTTAATTTTGAAGCCAGGGTTGGCACATGACTCAGGGGTAGAGAAGTTGAGGCAGGAGGATTGCAGGTGTGAGACCAGTCTCAGTAATTGTGTAAAATCCTGTTTAAAATAAAATTAAAGAGGACTGACCTTCCCTACAAAGGTGAGATCTTGGAACCCTACAGGACGCCGAATGCACAAAATCACAACAGATCCACACCAAGACACATTATAATGAAAATGCCCAACATACAGAATAAGGAGAGAATTTTAAAAGCCACAAGAGAAAGGAATCAGATTACTTATAAGGGAAAACCAATTAGGATAACGGCAGATTTTTTAACACAGACCCTGAAAGCTAGAAGATCCTGGAACAACATATATCTAGCTCTGAAAGATAATGGGTGCCAACCAAGATTCTTGTATCCAGCAAAACTAAGCTTTAGATTTGAAGATGAAATAAAAACCTTCCACGATAAACAAAAGTTAAAAGAATTTATAGTTAGAAAACCGGCACTACAAAACATCCTTGGTAAAATATTTCATGAAGAGGAAATGAAAAACAGCAATGAAAATCAGCAGAGGGAGGTAGTTTTAG